TTAAAAAAAAAACAATAATTGCATTTTTTATTTCAATAACGCATGAGTAAATAGGGATATGAACGCAGATTTAATATAGGCCCATAGAATTACGGGGACCGGCAAGGATTTGGAAAGTCTGAATGCAAGTCCTGCTTACACCTAACAAGTGCTGAAGTGGGACATAACCAGAGGTAGAAAGGTCTCGGAAGCACTTGGGAAGAGGCTTCCCAAGACCTATCCAGTTCTGAACGGAGAGACCTAAGTAGAATTTGTCAGGTCCAATTATTCGACTCGGGCTCCAACGGAAAAAACCAGAAAAGAAAACAAAAAGGTCAAACGTTCTAAAGAGTCGAATGGGAGTGACAGGTTGAGGGCCAAACCTTCTTAAGGATCAAATCGGAGAGATAAATGCATCGATCAGTCAAACGATGACGAAAGGTCAAACTTTATTTGGGTCAAACGGGAGAGACAAGTAGAGCAATCATAAGGGTTAAACGCTCTCAAGTGTCAGATGGGAGAGACGCGGGAGGGTCAAACATTCTTAAGTCAAAAGGGAGAGGACAACGTTCTTCAAACGATGATGAAAGGTCAAACCTTATTTGGGTCAAACGGGAGAGACACGACGAATAATCAGAAGGGTCAAACGCTTTTAAGGGTTAGATGGGAGAGACAAATGGATCAATCACTAAAAACATGTCAAAGAACGTTCTCAAGGCCCAAACGTCATCGCTCCGCTCGTCTCTCTCGTGCGACCTTTCCACTTCTCTCCCATTTGACCCTCAAAAACTTGTGAACCTTCTGACCCTTCCCTCCAGTAGGACCCCTAAAGAATAAAATTTATTACCGGTCCACTCTGACCTATTCTCCCCTACTCATAATTTTCATAATTCTTCAATATTTCCAGAAATACAGAGAACTCAATGCCCGAGTGGAGGAGAAATCCGGTGAGGAGCTGATCGAGATCATAAGTGAGAGCGTCGGAAGAATGCTCAGAAGAAAAATGGACGCGGTCCGTTGCATTCTTATCCGCGCTGAGGAAGAAGCCCTGAATCACGATGACAGTGAGAGAAATGTTGATGTGATAAAATCTAGTCTCACATATATCTCTGGAAAGTACAGCTGGGTCATCGATGGGGACAATGATACACAGCCAGAGATTCCGGAAAACATGCGAAATGACAGCCATATCTATAGGTACCCCTTTAAATCAGCAATTCAATTCCTCATGATAATGTGATAATGTCATAAGATTTTTTTTAGCTGAAGAATTTTTCGTTGCGAAATGCGCAGTAACATTTCCTTGCGGAATCACTTTGTTATCGAGATAATCTCATATTTATAACTAAGGGTCATGGAGGGCAAACTTTTCATTTATTTGATTTTACAAGAAAAGTAACCAGGAAGGAACCAAATTTTTGTGACCCCCAAGGTCACACGGGTCACGAAGGTCAAACTTTGCAGAGATGAAAAATCCTGTTTGACACGGTTATGACATTCTTTCTTAGGTTTGTTTGAACACAAGGAAATTAGCGAGGGGACGATATTTATGACCCCCAAGGTCGCGAGGGTTAAGAAGGTTAAACTTTATACAAACAACATCTGTGGCCACAGTTACGACCTTAATTCATATCTTCATGTTGTTGTTCAAGAGCAAAAGACGATAAATCAATTTGGTCTTCGTAAAAAATTGAATTTTTCGCTCAAGAAAATTTGATTTGTCAATATTTCTTGTTGACAGAGCGATGGCCTTGAATCCTGACTCTCATTTCTACAATATCCCCGTGAACACGAGTTACTCAGCGGTTCACATTCCAACCAACGTCTACGATTTATCCCCGATAGTGGCACACGCTATAAATTGGTCAGAGAAGCTGGACGAAGTCTTCACCCAGAATTACCGGTCAGATCCGGCGTTATACTGGCAGTATTTTGGCTCAATGACAGGAATGTTGCGAGCATATCCCGCGATGCAATGGAGAACAGAATTGGCGGCTGATGGAGAAAAATCTGCCGATCTCTATGACTGTAGAATCAGAAGTTGGTTCATTGAGGCGGCGACTTGCAGCAAGGATATGGTGATACTGGTGGATGTCAGTGGAAGTATGGAGGGGATGGGTTACACAATTGGTGAGGAAATTAAATTGTGTCTGTAGGGATGAGGCTTTGAGAATCTATAGGTTTTTAGATCATCTGTCGAAAATTCAGATGAAATTTCTATAACATGTTATAATTTGCTTCACCAACCCATAAAACCCTAGATGAGATTCTATAGATCGCTTGTTTGAAAATCTATGAGGTGTGGCTATAGAAAGTTCTATAGAACAGACTATAGAAAATTTTATAGCCATTAGAACATCCAATAGTCCCTGGCAGTAGAATCTATAGAACACGTTAATAACCATTCAAAATATTTCTTACAGCTATGTCTATAGAAAAGTCTATATAGGTTGTCTATAGAAAATTCCACAAATCTCTGATCTGTCAAAAATTCACATGGAATTGCTACAACATATAATAAGTCGCTTCATCAACGCATAAAACCCTAAATGAAATTCTAGATGATATTCTATAGATTCTATATTTAAAAATTTATGGGCCGTAGTTGTAGAAAGTTCTATAGAACAGATTCTATAGAATATTCTGACAGTGGGAATATATAGGTCCCGCCTAACAATCTATAGAGCTCGCTGATAAAAATTCTATATAATTCTTATAGCTATGTCTACAGAAACGCCAATATAGTGTTTATAGAATATTCGATAGCCCCTGTGTACCCATCATCCTATAGCTCTTATTCATGAAAGATTTTATAGCTCCCAATGATGCCTCCAGACCCCACCTACAGATAATTCTATAGATCATGTCTATAGAAAATGCTATAGAACGTGCCTATATGAAATTATCTAGGATCCGCCTATAGAAGAAAATATATTCATTCTCCACATAGCATTCTGGGTCTTATCAATGACAGATACAATAGCCGACAGCGACGTGAATTTATAGAACCCGTCTATAGAGAATTTTATAGCCATAATTCATACATCATTCGGTGGGGCTATAGACCCTACCTATAAAAAAATGTATAGCTCACGCTTATAAAAATTATATAGACCACATCTATAGAAAATTCTACAGATCTTGTGGATAAAAAACTGCAGACCGTGTCTATAGAAAATTCTATAGACAATGTTTGTAGAAAAATCTATAGCATTTGTCTAGGGAAAATTCTATAGGCAATTCTCAGTGCGAAATTTTTTAAATATCCTCTTAATCTTTAAAACCCCAGCAAAAGCAGTGGTAGCCTCAATTCTGGACACCCTTTCCAACAACGATTTCGTGACAATTCTGGAGTACACCAACGTCACCGAGGACCTGGTGCCCTGCTTCAAGGACAAGCTCATTCAAGCCACTCCCGAGAACATCGAGACCTTCAAGAGTGCCTCCGGCACTCTAGACCCCCTCGAGGTCGCTAATTTAACGGACGCCTTCACCCGCGCCTTCACCCTTCTAAAAACTTATCGTGAGACTCGCGGTTGTGGTCCCGATACACCCTGCAATCAGCTCATAATGCTCGTCACAGACGGCGTCGCCTCCAACATATCAGAGGTTAATAAATTGATTGAATTCACACCACTGATGGGCGTTAATAATATCGTAAAACGTTTAAACATTTTGTGCCAATTGAAAAAGGTCTTTGACGCGTGGAACAGACAGGAGAATGGCACAAGAATACCCGTTCGTGTCTTTACGTATCTGCTGGGTCGAGAGGTGACTATGGTACGTGAGATTCAACTGATGGCATGTAAAAATAGGGGGTATTACACTCATGTTCATACGCAAGAGGAGGCGCAGGAGCAAGTGCTCAAGTACATTCCTGTGGTGGCTAGGCCACTGGTTCTTCAGGGAAAGGAACATCCCATCATCTGGACACACGCTTATGCTGATGTTTCTGTAAGTTTTTTTTTCTAGGTAACTTCCGGCGGAATTATAATTTATTTTTAAAAATCAAGGCCATTTTCAGATTTTTAGAGAATTTACAGAAATTTTCTAATTGTCTGAGAGATTCGAGAAAATTTGAGAAAAATTGGGGGTTTACTAGAAAATTCTGTGATTTTTGAAAAGTTCTCGGTTTTCTTCAATAAAGCGACAAAATTTTGAAAAAACGGAATTTTCCTCAGAATTCAAGAATGAAAATATGAAAAAAAATCGCGTCACTTAGAAAATTAGTGAAGATGATTGAGACTTTTCAGAAATTTCCAGACCATTTTCGGTAATTCTTGAATCTCTGACGAAAATATCGTCAATTAAAGAGGATGATGCTTGCACGGACGACGAGGGGGGGGGGGAGACACGTCCGTCTATATCAAGGATCGAGCCATGTGCTATTTTTGCATCAATCAACTATGCAATAAATGTCATTGGATTCTCGAAATTGTTGAGCATTAGACCATTTCCAAGCCATAAAACTTCTTCATTCACACCCCAAAAAATTGGTCTCCACGTGAATACTAAAACTGATGAACATTGCACGGGTGAATATGCTGCAATGAGGCCATTAAGCAGTATCGAATAACCCCGACGATTGCAGGAAAAAAACATAAATTACGAGAATAACGACAGTATCACATAATACAAAACTGGTATATTATTACCGAAAGCGCCAATAAAATTCCTTACCATCCATTAATTGAATGAAAGAAAAAAAAAGCGTGAATAATGGTTTTGTTGGTTCACAAATACGAGCGAATATTTAAGATATGCAATCCCATTAGAATCCAGCACTTGCCACGTGGCTGTGGCTCGTAATGGAGCATCCGGAGCAAAAAGCACGTCTCGAGAAACATCTTGAAGCTATGCAACAGGGCATCTCCATAAACGACGACAGCATCTACATAAAAAAGGTTTATGAGAAATGGGAGAATTCCACCGAGAACGAATTTGTGGCCCTTGTCTTAATTTTTTTTTTAGAAGTTATCCTGTAGGAAAGCTTGATGGATTTTATGCCCTTTAGATACCCCTAGATTGCGATGTTCCCTGGTGTCATGATGTTTTTCTTATTGAATGAGATGAGGAAACTGTGATGTGATTTTATTAGATTTTTTTTTTCTCAGATATTGGTGGTTTTGTCGAGTGTTTTTTCCCTTATGTATGAAAAAATATTTTTTAGACATGTTCTGTAGGCGATGTTGGGTGGAAAGTAATTGAAATACTTTTTTTCGGAAGATTTTCAATTTTGTTGAAGAATATTTCTATAGCTTGTTTCTATAGGTATCTGTAGGACATTCTATAGACTTTCTGAAAGGATTCTGCGATGTACTCTATAGGTTTCTACAGAAAGTCCAATGGTTCGATTAGAAATGTATGGATGGCTATAGGCGACTATAGAAAAATTCAGATGAATTCGTTACAGCAAAATCTATAGATTTTTTTACATAACACATCAAAAATCAATAGCGCGATAGAATCTATAGATTTCCCCGCAAATTGAACCGATAGCCTATATTTCTATAGGTATCTATAGAACATTCTATAGCTGTTCTGCATGGATTCTGCGATGTAGACGATAGGGTTCTACAGAAAGTCCGATGGTTCTAGGAGAAATTGTATGGATGGCTATAGGAGACTACAGAACTTTCTATAAAACAAATTCTATATGAGTTTCAACTGGATTTGGTGGAATATCCTGTAGAAACTACAATAGCAATCTATTGGGCATGGGATGGCCCCAAAAATGGACTAGAAAAAATTCACATAAATTCGTTGCAGCAACACCTATAGATTTTGTTTACACAATACATCATCTAAAAGTCAATAGCGCCATTAAATTCAGACTTCCCCCTAAATTAAATCTATAACCTATATTTCTCTATGTATCTATAGAATATTCTATAGATGTTCTGAATGGATTCTGCAATTTAGTCTATAGGTTTCTACAGAAAGTCCGATGGTTCTAGGAGAAATTATATCGATGGCTATAGGAGGCTGTAGAACTTTTTATAAAATGAATTGCATGTTTCCGCTGGATTCGGTGGAATATCTTATAGAAACTTCAATAGCCATCTAAGGAGCATGACAGCCAAAAAAGGGGCTATAGAAAATTGCCGATAAATTCATTATAGCAAAATGTAAGATTTTTTACATAACACATCGCCCGAAACTCTATAGCACCATTAAATCTATAGAATGTCCCGCGGAGCTTGAGACAAATGTCTATAGAATTTTCTATAGATCATCTTTAAACAAATTACTAATAAAAACCGTAGAAACTCGTCTTACCATAATCCCCCAAAAAATCCTATAGAACGTGTCGATATTTTATCACCCTCCAAGCCATCAAACTATCTTCATTCCACTGATTCAATCGAATTACTCATCAGATGAAAAGAGGTGAAGATGTCAGGCGAGCAGCAGCCGATGTGGAATCAACTGCGAGACAAGAATACAGATTACTCACCTCAGTAAGTATTCCTGCATTCGATCGCAAAGGCAACGCCAATAACGAGACGAGAAGGGCAAATCTCCTGGGAGTTGCTGGCACTGATGTACCTATCAACGACATTTCGAAGCTCACGCTGCCTTATAAACTCGGGGTGAACGGCTACGCCTTCATTGTCTCTAATAACGGATATGTTATACTCCATCCAGATCTTCGACCCGTCAGTGGAGAAGTCCTGAAGACTAATTACAACAGTGTCGATCTCACGGAGGTGGAAATTCTGAATGATGGAAGGAAACCTAGGTGAGAAGTAAATTCTGTGGAATTTTCAATGTTTAGCAATTGTGATTTTTTTTCAATTTTCTATAGACATTTCGTTGGATTTTTTATGAAGAAGTACAACCCATTTTTAGACATTGGAAAGTCTATAGGTGTGCTATAGAAAAATCTATAGATGGGCTATAGAAAAATTACACCCGGGCTATATAAAATTATATAGATAACTATAGAGGCTTATCGAATCTACATAAAATTTTATAGGCAGCTGTAGAGATGGCTATAGCCCTTCCACCAAAAATTCTATGGAATGCTATAGAAAAACCTACATATTTTCTGCAGAAAAACTTCTATAGAATTAACTATAAGAAGACTAGTATACAATCTATAAAATTTTCTATAGACCGTTGAACAGACAATTTATAGAAATAGCTACATATATTAAACCAGAATAAAATTCACAGAAGCGTATATGTAGAGTTATGGAAAATCTATAGATTTCCTATAGAAGCCCACATGAAGTCCAAAATTTGCTGTAGGATGTCTGTAGGTTCTTAAAAGTTAGGACTATAAGGAATCTACAGCGTTTTCCGCATTTGGCGTCACATAATCTATTTTTAATGGCTATAGAAAAGAGAAATTCAATAGCTTTTTTTTTTCAAATATGCGTCGCTATAGGAAGTCTACAATTTTTTAACAATATTTTCACCAGAGAGCTATAGAAATTCTTATAGTCACGACTCTATAAACTCTATAATCCTCTCTAAAATCTATAAAAATTCCTTATAGAATTATATAGGATGCCTATTGAACATTCTATAGAGATCAATCCAAGATTACCAACTAATTATAAGACATAAAAAATCCAGGGATCCGGGGGCCAAGATCCTAGAGCTCCGCGCAGCCCTGGTCAACCACACCTGGGGCAACATGAAAAACATCCCCGTAAAATTTCACTACGACAACAATCGAAGAGTGACCCTCGAGCACCGCGACTACTACTTCGCACCCCTTCCAGGGACACCCTTCGGCATCGCCGTCGCCATCCCCAATTACGGAAAAACCTGGATCAAGGTAGGAAATGAAATCGAGAAGAACCGTCAGGCGGGAATAGAAATCAGTGATTTCTTCATCGGGGATCAGTGGCGGGTGCATCCGGGATGGGTCTACTGTCGCTTCCACTACCTCGAGGGTCACGAGTTCAACAATTCCGTTGATGAGGTGCGGTTCTTCCTGCATAAACTGAGTGAACCCGGGTGGGAGTGGGCGGATCAGTACGAGGCGTACGACATCAGCTTCGAGGATGAGGAGACACCCGACTGCACGAAGAAGGTCCTCGAGGATGATGATTACTACTGCAATGAGGAGTTGATGCAGCTGCTGGTGTTCGACGCCAAGGCGACTAATCAGAGTTTCAATGAGGAGTTCAAGCATAAAAATATAGAGAATTGGGAGTTGGCGAATTCTTATGGCGTCTTTCTCAGGTTCGTGGCCACGCAGAGCGGTCTCACCAGGTGGCAGTACCTGGATGAGAGGTTCAAGCCACCTGACCTCAATCGCAAGTTCGGGGATCTTCATAGGAGGGCGGTCAATGAACCTTGGTACAAGGGAGCTATTTTTCAACATCAGATTGACCCGGAGAGCATCTCTTTGTCAGGTAAGCTGACACGTCGTGAGGAGGGTTTATATTCAGATTGATGATCCTGCTAATTTGGGGCAAACTTTTGTCAAGCGTAGCAAGTGCTCGTTTAATCTTGGTTAAACAATGAAATTTACCATTAGGACAAGCTTAAATACCCATTGGCAAAACTGGTTAAACATTAAAATGTAACGCTAGGGCAAGCTTTCCCCGTTGTTCAACTTGAATTAATCCAAGCTAGCGGTTTCAGTCTTGCAGCCCAAGTTAGAATTGATCACTACCGCCAAGCCTCGATTTAGCTAGATACAAACATTGAGCCAAGCTTAGTTCGGCATTTTGTTTTTCACTCAAAGTCCCAGGAAAAGGCGGAGAAGACGCGGTGGTAACCGTCTCAATGGCGATCTTCTCCCGTGACGGAGAACGTAAACATTGGAATGTAACATTAGGGCAAGCTTGAATACACCTTGACAAAACTGGATAATATTGAAATGTAACGCTTGGGCAAGCTTTACCCATTGTTCAACCTAGATTAATCCAAGCTAGCTGTTTCAGTCTTGCAGCCGATGTTAGAATTGATCACTACCGCCAAGCCTCGATTTAGCTAGATACAACCATTGAGCCAAGCTTAGTTCGGTATTTTGGTTTTCACTTAAAGTCCCAGGAAAAGGCGGAGAAGACGCGGTGATGACAGTCTCAATGGCGGTCTTCTCACGGGACGGAGAACGTAAACATTGGAATGTAACATTAGGGCAAGCTTGAATACACATCGGCAAAACTGGTTAAACATTAAATTGTAACGCTAGGACAAGCTTTCCCCGTTGTTCAACTTAAATTAATCCAAGCTAGCGGTTCCAGTCTTGCAGCCGATGTTAGAATTGATCACTACCGCCAAGCCTCGATTTAGCTAGATACAAACATTGAGCCAAGCTTAGTTGGGCATTTTGTTTTTCACTTTAAGTCCCAGGAAAAGGCGGAGAAGACGCGGTGGTAACCGTCTCAATGGCGATCTTCTCCCGTGACGGAGAACGTAAACATTGGAATGTAACATTAGGGCAAGCTTGAATACACCTTGACAAAACTGGTTAAATATTGAAATCTAACGCTAGGACAAGCTTTCCCCGTTGTTCAACTTGAATTAATCCAAGCTAGCGGTTTCAGTCTTGCAGCCGATGTTAGAATTGATCACTACCGCCAAGCCTCGATTTAGCTAGATACAAACATTGAGCCAAGCTTAGTTGGGCATTTTGTTTTTCACTTTAAGTCCCAGGAAAAGGCGGAGAAGACGCGGTGGTAACCGTCTCAATGGCGGTCTTCCCGCGTGACGGAGGGCGCACAGCGGCAGCAGCGGTCATAGGATTTCAGATGCCAATGACGTACTTCTTCCAGCGATTCCTCGATATAACTTCAGAGACCCCCAATCCTGACTTTAACTGCGAGCAGGAAGGCCTCGACTGTTACCTAGTGGATCAGAATGGTTACGTAGTGATATCAGAGGCGCACAATGATACTGGCCAGTTCTTCGGGGTCATCGAGGGCCCCGTGCTACAGTCCATGGTGAACCAGAGCTACTTCGAGACAGTGGAGATTTATGATTATCAGGCTGTGTGTTATCATATTGGACTCCAGGGGGCGGGCACGACTCTTCTGACGCCCTTCAGGCACATCTGGAATCTTCTTCTGTGGGCGTTTGCCAGAACTGTCTGGATGGTTTCACAGTTCGTCCATGTTCCCCAGGTGCACTCGAGGGTGCACTCGGATGACGACCTCCCGGAGAAGCCACCACCTCCGGAGGAGGTCAAGCAGTATCACAAGTGCGATCAAAAGAGGATTCTTTATATGATGAATCAGACGAGGGCGGACACTCCTATTAGGAATATCGATAGTGTCTGCTCGAGACCGTTTTATGCGCAAAGGGTAAGTTTTTTTGTCTGGCAATATTGTATAGACGGAGTCTATAGACACATTTATTTGGAGACTAACTCAAATTCTTGTGGAGAAAGTAGTGATGAGATTGCAGTCCGCGTTTTCTATAGACCAGTCATGAGATCTTCTATAGAAAACGGAGACTGTATCACGTAGAGTCAGTTTTTAATGTGGCGGTGCATATTTCTCTCTATATTATAAAAATCGAAATCGACTTCTGGTGATAAAAATTTGGTACTCGAAATTAAGACTCCATAATGAAGGGTCACGAGGGTCAAAATAATGGTCATGAGAATCAGAATAAGGGTCACGAGGGTCAAATTGAGGGTCACAGGGGTCGGATTAAGGGTTGTGAAGGTCAGATTAAGGGTCATGTGGGTCAGATTAAGGGTCGCGAGGAGTATAATGGGGGCCACAGATTACCGGTCACAAGGGTTAGAATAAGGATTATGTGCGTCATATGGGAGGAGGCGAGCGGAGCGAGCAGGGGGCGTAGCCCTGTAGTCTCAAATAAAAAATTCAGATGGATGCCTATAGAAATTTGCTGCATGGAACCCTATAGAGTGTCTATAGAAAAATCTATAGAACCCTATAAATAAATCCATTGATTGTCATTACAGGAGGATGTCCAGATTTTTCAATTCAGGTAGTCGATGAAAATTACATTATGGAATCTATAGCATTCTATAGAACCACGTCATGAATTTTTTCGCAGATAAGTTTTGCATTGCCTGTAGAAGAGTCATGTGTTATCATATCGATATGAACTTTTTTGCAAATGCGACCAATTGCATTATGTGACGCTATAAAAATTCTATAGAATTGTGTTATAGAATTCTATAGGATATTCCTGAAAATGTATAGAAAATCCAATCAACTTCTCGTGGAAAATCCTGCTAAGTCCTTTATGATTTATACGTTTTACTCTACAGACATTTGTACAGACGCATTGGCGAAAAATAGAAAATTCCGTCTGTAGGAAAGCCTATACAATCCTATAGACTCTATAATTGTCTATCAAAGCTTTATGTGGTATCAGGACGATTCCAACATTTTTCACTGATAGAACTAATGTCATAAGGAGAGAGGCTATAGAAAATCTATAGTTATTTATTATAGAATTATATAGAACAGCTGAAAATCTAGAGGAAATCCGATGAACTTCTTGTCGAAGATTCTGCCAGATTTTACAAATTCTATACGTTTTTATTCTGTTGAATTCCTAAGATAATTCTATAGAGAGTCTATAGAAAAAAAATCTATAGGAATCCTATAGCCAGTAGAGAAAAATCCTATAGAAAAAAAATAATAGAAAAATCTATAGTGACTTCCACGAATAATTATTGAGATATTGAATTCACTAGGTTCCCCAGACAAATCTCCTCCTAGTGGTCGTAAATTCACTCTACCCATCCTGCTGGGCGAGACTAGAAACGGAACCCATTGAAATCAATCCAGCCGAGTACATGGAGGATTCAGACGATGCTGCCTGCTACAAAAAGAAACTCAACGATCTCCCGCGGAGACCTCTGGAGGGATGCTTCACGGAACATCCTCTAGAGGATGAGATTGACGCCTGTGGACGAGGAACAAGACTGCAATTAACGCAAATTCTATTAATTATCTATTTAATTATTGTCAAAGTTCTGTTGTAAATAATCACGAGGAAAGAAAGAAAATCGTTTGAAATAAATGAAAGAAAAAATTCCACTCGTCTTTGGTAATGTCATATTTGAAATTACTTGAAAATTTTATTAGTGTTACTCTCCCAAGGGTCAAAGAACACTTTCCCACGAGTATCGAACCCTATTTTTCATCACGATGTGTAGAAAGTGGGATTTTGCGCACGCAGAGCGTTACTCTCATTACTTTACTCACAAGTGATGAAAATAGCATATTCGAACTCCTGATGCAGAACCTAGTTATCCTGGCACAAAAAATCGAAAATTTCGGATTTGACGGATACAATGCTTCCAATCGGAAGCAAAAACAGCTGATGATGAGAAAACAGAGTAAACTATTTGTTGAAATTATCAAAAAACATAAATATTCACAAAAAAAAAGTAGGAGAATGAAAAAAAATCACTCGATTCTTCAATATCATATCAAATTAATTGAATAAAAATTGAAAACAATTCCTCGTGCATCAGCTGACACTGGCACATCAACAATAACTCACTGGCTACCCTCCACAGATACCTAACAGCGCGCAAGCTCGCGAATTTGACCCAGACGGTGATCGATACCCGCAGGAAAGGGGGCGACTAGGCGGACAACAGTACAGTCACCATCAGCCTCAATCGTCAGTCTAGCTCAATCATCCGACATCTACGAATATATGAGTCCAGCTACGTGTAATTTTAACAAGTGAATTTTTCATTTGATTTATCATTTTTGAGAGGGAGAGAGGGATGAGGGAATGTTTACTGCCGATACTACTTGCTGTTATTGTTTTATCAACTCCAGGGGAAGGTGACGTTGTATCGTTTGCCACGTAAGTTTATCGTGACACAATTTTAATATCTCTGCGCAGGATTTGGGATTTTCACGTGAATAATTAATCCGAGAATCGAGGGAGAGAGGATTGAAAATTGAGGGGTTTATAATTGCGAAAGGAGAAATTGGAATGGATATTTCTTATTTACGAATGGCAGTTGTAATTCTGTTGTCATCTGAGCGGAAGGGATTACGTGTCACGTGACAGACGGGTCGGGAGTTCACGTGTTGTTCGGGGTGAATTGTTTAGGATAAAATTGTTTATTCAATTCAATTTATTGATGCTTTTGGGATTTTTCTGTATATTTCTTCATTGAGGAATCAGTTACTTTCTTGAATATTTAAGTAAATCGCGATTTTCAGGTCCATTCGGCACTGAAAAACCTTGAAAATTTTGAAAATTCAGGCAACAATTTTTCTGAATTCTCAATCTATTGAAAATTGAATTGTCTTGGAAATTCAAGCTTTCATTAAAAAATTAAGGATTGTTTAACATGAAAAACCCAATTTTCTTGAATTTTCAAGATGAATGAGAAATTTAGTGAAGGCTTTCATTTGAAATTGAATTCAGCTTGGCAACATCGAAAATTCAGATGACGCTCTGACGGAAATTTCAAGAAATTTTTAACAGTCTACCCCATCGCTTGCGGGGAAGGGAATACCATAAAGTAAATACAAAATATTTGGAAGTAAAATTTGTGAGTACAAAAGAGAAGAGGACATAATCGTCTAGGACGATATGGGATGCTAGGACAGCAGTAAAATGCAGCGAGATATACGTAGATCAGTAGCAAAAGCTAATAGATTTTTAAATTGAACGCGACGAAGTTTTCTGCAAATCTAGGCGCCTCCTTGTCGCAAGGCAATTCATTATAAAATTGTAGATACATTTATTTTCCAAGAAATTTGTACTGAAGATGATCATGCTTAAGGATTTATCAGGTGCCCTGAGGTAATTTTACAAAAAGGATAAAATTGTTTAGTGATAAGGTGTACGCTTATGAGAGATACGGAAATCTCGAAAATTGAAGCCGTTTCGATTGTTTCGTAAGAAGAAAGAGCAGGTTTTTTGGAGTTAATTGGAGGGTGGGATTATATCTCGGTAATGAGTGGATTTAAGGGAAAATGTCAAAAAATATTTTTTGTTGGAAATTTTGTCAGCTACAAAAATGGTTTAGAGAAGTTTTTTCATGAAATCAATCGTTCAACAGATAAAGGCACAATTCCGTTTAATGTCGAGACGGATGAGTTTTAACGCGGAAGAAACAATCAATAATGAATGTTGGATTATCTGGATACAGAGTGATTGTAGGAAAAAATGTCAAATAATATCTTTCGTTGGAAATTTTGTTAGCTACAAAAGAGTTTTTATGAAGTTTTCCCGAAAAATTGATGGTTCAGGAGATAAATAAACATTTAAAAATGGTAGAAAATTCGGGTTGTTCATTTCGCTAATGAAGCGATGTTTTTAATTTTTTGTTTTTAATTAATCCAGGGTAAAAACATGGGCGTACAAACTCGGCTTCGAGCTGTCTCAGCTTGGAAAATACGTGATAAACGTGCAAAAATTCGAGGACAGCTACAAGACCGCCCAAATAATACCCAGAGATGGTAATGCACTTGTTCATGAGATTGCGAAGGATATCAAGGCTATGATGGAGTCTAAAATGTCAGCAATTAGGGTGAGTACTCTTGAGATAATTAGGAGGATTGAAGAATGCATCGTTTTACTGAAGAATATTCTGAAAATACCCAGAATGTCGACTTCATTAGTGGAGTGATGAAAATAAAATGAAATCTTTCGAAAACACAGGAGCGAACGGTTCTAGACGAAAACATCATAAGATTTTTTTGTAGCTGATGATATTCTCTAGAAAAATGTCTAATGGTGTTTTCCCCTAGAATCATCCCCTAGAGAGATAATTCTACATCTACAAAAAGGAAAAAATGTAAATTCTTCCACCACTTCATCGCCATTCTTATAGTTGTTCTGATTATCTCAGGAACGGATGATTCTAGACGAAAACATTACTAGACTTTTTTGTCGCTGATGAAATTCCCTACAAAAAAGTTTAATAACATTTTTCTCTAGAACCGATACCTACGGAGATAATTTGGCGCTTACAATAAAGAAAAAATGTAACCAGTTCCATCACTCGATCTCCATTTTTTCGAATTCCACGATTATCCTAGTAACGCGTGGTTCTAGACAAAAACATCATTTGACTTTTTTGTAGTTCATAAAATTCTCTACCAAAAATCTCTTATGATATTTTCACTTACACTCACTCTTTACGGAAATAATTGCGCATTTACCAAAATGCAGAAAGGTCCCGACTCTTTTTACCACTTCATCTCCATTTCCTCAAATCTGTCTATTTCCCCGGAAGCCCGTGTTTCAGACGAAAACATGACTTGACTTTTTCGAAACATCATTTGACTTGAAGAAATAATTTCCCATTTACAAAACTGTAAAAACGTCGCAACGCGCAAAAAAATCCCCTGCCGTTCTCCTAGACACCGCCTCTAACCCAAAAAATCTCATGATCTCCACCTCCCCAACCCCCAGAGAATAATGGACATCGCGGAGACAGTCGCCCTGGACGACGAGCAGTTGGACGTCAACTACACGTATACAAACGCGAAGAACGTCTCCCAGGAGCTCCACTACAGCGTCCACTTCGGTGGCGACGTGAACACATCCATGTCCTCCGTTCACGTCCCGACGAACGTCTACGACCGTGCGCCAACGGTGATCAAGGCGATAAAGTGGTCAGCCCGATTGGACGACACCTTCATCAACAACTACAAGCACGACCCCTCGCTGTCCTGGCAGTACTTCGGGAGTGCTACGGGCTTCATGCGTCAGTTTCCGGCGACGATCTGGAACCCGAAGCCAGTGGACCTCTTCGACTGCCGAACGAGGGGGTGGTACATCGAGGCGGCCAACAGCCCGAAGGACGTCCTGATCCTGGTGGACACCTCCGGAAGCATGACGGGTGTCCGCAAGGAGATAGCGAGACACGTCGTCAACAACATCCTGGACACCCTCGGCAACAACGACTTCGTCAACATCATCACATTCTCCAACGAGACCAGGGAAGTTGTTCCATGCTTCAATGACACCCTGGTGCAAGCTAACCTGGGGAACATCAGGGAGCTGAAGGAGGCCATATCCGAATTGACGACCGAGCGGATAGCCAATTTCGAGATGGTCCTGGTGTACGCGTTTCAACTCCTAGCTAGGTTCAGGAACGAGACCAGGGGGGCCATGTGCAATCAAGCCATCATGCTGATCACAGATGGTGTGCCGTATAATTATAAGGATATTTTTAGGGAGTACAATTGGGGCGGCAGCTCCGAGGAACCTGACAAGTTCGATATGCCTGTCAGGGTGTTTACGTATTTAATCGGCCGGGAGGTCACCGATGTCAGGGAGGTTCAGTGGATGGCCTGCGCCAACAGGGGATATTATGTCCATCTGTCGACGTTTGCTGAGGTCAGGGAACAGGTGAGTGATTGTTAAGGCTATGTTTTTGGGGGGGCTGGGCAGGGTTTCGGATTTAGCGGGTGTCTTGGGAGGGGTGAGCCTGGTAGATAATTTCAGAGAGGAGAAATTCCTGAGGAGAAAGGTCATCAGGCGTTTTTGATAGCTCAACTTAGACTCAATTTAGATTATGCTTGCTAAGGAGTGGCGAGTGACTTTAGCATTTTCAACTAAAGCGAGTGACTTTAGCTGAAATACTAAAGTCACTCGGTATCGAGATAAATGCATAATTGATTGCAAGAAAGAGGAGAATGATTATCTCGAAAGGAAACTTCAGGTTATTTCATGAAGAGGGAGAAATTCCTGATGAGAAAGGTGCTCAGATGTTTTCTGATAGCTCAACTCATTACCGAGATGATTAAACAAATCGTTTTCAGCATGAGTTAGAAAGACTCTGTCCAAGTTAGGTTTCAAGTGGACTTGATTGCGGGATTTTCTTGTTAAGGGGTGACGAGTGACTTTAGGGTTTCAGCTAAAGTCACTCTTCAGGAATTTATCTCGATAACGAGTGACTTTAGGGTTTCAGCTAGTCACTCGTTATCGAGATAAATGCATAATTGATTGAAAAAAAATAAGGGTAATCTCTGAAGGAAAGTTCAGGTCATTTCATGCAGAGGGAGAAATCCCTAACGAGAAAGGTGCTCAGGTTTTTTGTAATAGCTCAGCTCATTATCGACATGATTGGGTAAATCTCTTTATGAAGTGGGTTCAGGTAAAAGCACTGAACAACCTTTCTTATGAAGAATTTCATAAGCCACAAAAAAGTTTTTATGACATTTTCAGCTAGAGTCACTCACTGTCGAAAAAAAACGCATAATTTAAAAACAATAGGAATTTCATAAAGAAAAATGAAATTTCCTTCAAATCCTAAGGTACTGAATTACGTTCCCGTGATGGCACGTCCCCTAGTCCTCGGTAAACACGATCACCCGACAATCTGGACCCCAGTCTATGCCGATATCACTGATCCCAAAATGGCGGATTGGCTGTGGGAGCAGAAGGAGTGCGAGGATCAGAAAGAGAGGGTCCTGGAGTTCCGGAGGAACAGGCGGTTGTACCTGTCCAATCATCAGAGGGACAGGAAATTGATGCACAAACCGAAGAGACATCACAGTCATCACGATGAGATGCAAGAGTATCAGCTGATGACGTCAGTCAGTATGCCGGTGTATGATAGAAGAGAGAATGCGGTAAGTGATGAGTAATTAATTCAGCATTGAAGTGGAAAAACGAAAACCATTATATCTTCAAAACATACAATTACGTGAAAATATTTTTTATAATTTTTTTCGTCAATTTTTCAATTTTTTCCCGATTTTTAATTTTCATCGATTCCAGACATGAAATTTGTAATTAAAAATAAAATTAGAAAATTTGCATTAAATATTTTCTTGGGTGAATTTTTATTGTAAAATAAAAATTAACTAAACTAAAATAAACTTATAAAAATTGTGATCAAATGAAGAAAAAAATTCTCAATTGGGTTTATGCTTAATCATTTCGTCTTTCCACTTTGATTATGATCCAATTAATAAAAGAACAATTGGAGAGTTGAAAAAAAATATCTAGGAAGTCAATGAAGCCAGAGATAGAGGATGAAATACTGAAGAAAGTGTATCTGTTTCTCTTGTAAGTTAACGTTTGTCCACAGAACATAACTGAGCAAGTGCTGGTCAAGGAGGCGTACTGGGTGCCCCAGACACGAGAGGTTCGGTGTTAATAAACAAAGCAAATGAGATTAACGCAGATATGATTTTTTTACAGTGCATAGAGCTCCCTTGACACCCATTCAGAATACTTGAATTCATAGATTTCATTAATTTTTTTTTCCGTTCGTTTCATTGACTATTCTTTCCATTAGGTCTACGTCTGTCTGCTAATTTTTTAATTAGTTCTTTGAACGTTATACGGAAATTGAATTTTTGATTCAAGAATATCTCGAAAGCCCATCGCCTCCTTTGTCTATTCTCACGTCGCAGAAGCGTACGGGAGGGCGCTATCAGACTAGCCCAGGAAAATTCTAGACAAATTTTCAGTAGAATAATATTAATATCAGATGGCATATAAATATCGGATCTGATATCACCAATATCTGAAGGATCCTATCGGCTCCTTTGTCTATTCTCACGTCATAGAGGCGCACAAATTTCCGCTAGACTAAAATTATTCAAGAGACACATGCACGTCATGACGTCATTTGTCGGAAGTTGTGCTACACAGAGATCAAATTGAATGTCGCAAATATCTCGAAAGCCTGTCGCCTCCTTTGTCTACTGTCACGTCATATAAATATCGGATCGGATATCTTCAATATCGCGAGATCCTACTGCCTCCTTCGTCTATTCGCACGTCATAAAGGCGCGCGGAAGCGCCGTTAGACTAGTCCTGGAAAATTCTACAGAAATTTCCGCTGGAGTAAAATTATTTAAGAGAAGTTGTGTTACGTAGATATTGAATGGAAGGTCACAAATATCTCGAAACCCCGTCGCCTCCTTCGCCTATTCTCACGTCGCAGAAGCGTACGGGAGGGCGCTATCAGACTAGCCCTGGAAAATTCTAGACAAATTTTCGCTAGAATAATATTAATATCGGATGGCATATAAATATCGGATCTGATATCACCAATATCTGAAGGATCCTATCGGCTCCTTTGTCTATTCTCACGTCATAGAGGCGCACAAATTTCCACTAGACTAAAATTATTCAAGAGACAGATGCACGTCATGACGTCATTTGTCGGAAGTTGTGCTACACAGAGATCAAATTGAATGTCGCAAATATCTCGAAAGCCTGTCGCCTCCTTTGTCTACTGTCACGTCATATAAATATCGGATTGGATATCTTCAATATCGCGAGATCCTACTGCCTCCTTCGTCTATTCGCACGTCATAAAGGCGCGCGGAAGCGCCGTTAGACTAGTCCTGGAAAATTCTACAGAAATTTCCGCTGGAGTAAAATTATTTAAGAGAAGTTGTGTTACGTAGATATTGAATGGAGTCACAAATATCTCGGTACCCCGTCGCCTCCTTCGCCTATTCTCACGTCGCAGAAGCGTACGGGAGAGGCCGTCAGACTAACCCTGGAAAATTCTAGAGACATTTTCGCTAGAATAATATTAATATCAGATGGCATATAAATATCGGATCGGATATCTTCAATATCGCGAGATCCTACTGCCTCCTTCGTCTATTCGCACGTCATAAAGGCGCGCGGAAGCGCCGTTAGATTAGTCCTGGAAAATTCTACAGAAATTTCCGCTGGAGTAAAATTATTTAAGAGAAGTTGTGTTACGTAGATATTGAATGGAGTCACAAATATCTCGAAACCCCGTCGCCTCCTTCGCCTATTCTCACGTCGCAGAAGCGTACGGGAGAGGCCGTCAGACTAACCCTGGAAAATTCTAGAGACATTTTCGCTAGAATAATATTAATATCGAATGTTATATAAATATCCGATCGTATATCGCCAATATCTGAAGATTCCGTCACCTTCTTCGTCTATTCTCACGTCATAAAGGTGCACCGTCAGACTAGTCCTACAAAATTCTAGAATCATTTCCGCTAGAGTAAAATCATCGTACTAATTCGCGTTAATTCTCAAATTCTAAACAATATCCTTATTTCAAGAATTCAGTATTTCCACGATACGTAGAATTTTCCTTCCTTGATAAGCATAATTAATTCCCTCGAGACAACATGTAGACAATGAACTTAAGGTCCTGCCCGCTGGATTCGCAAGAGAGAATAAAGGGAATGGTATCAGACATCAAATTTTTCTTTATAAAATTTAGAAGAATTTATGAACATTTAAGGGTACTTATGTATAACCATAATCAATCTCAGTATGAGAATTGAAATTATAAATTAGATTTTTACTTAGAAGGGGATCCTCACGTTTTAAATTTTCTTTCGTAATAAAACGACTGAAAAAAATCTGAAAAATAATACAATCTTCATTCTATAACGAGAAAGATAACATTTTTTTTCTCTTTTTTTTCATTGCATCGATGTATGAAGAATTAATTTACGCTTTGCTAAATGGTGCTTTGCAGTTGTGCTGAGCGATGAATAATATTTTGTTAAATGGCTCCCCGAAAATCAGCTATTAAATTTTTCAGGTTTTTATCCGCTTAATAAATGAAAATATAACAGTAGAAATAATTTCAAAAATTTTCAATTTTTCTTTTCAAATTTTCAATTCATCCCAAGTGATGGGAAAATACAGTTAATTGAATAAAATATATTGAAATTAATATTTTACTGTTGTATGAATAACTATTGCTATGTTGTTTTTAATTAAAAAAATTGTGCAATGAAGTAAGAAAAAATATATAAAAAGGATCTCCTTAATTAAATATTCCGTCGTTGCAATGCGAATAGCCAAAACAACTAGGACATAGCGTCTGCCAGATATAAAGAGTTGAAAAATTTTTCAAGTAGTTGAATTAGTTTTAAAAATTTGTACAAAGTATAAATCATTCATGATACTCTATGGTATTCTTTACATCTTTATTTTCATATGCTAGCTGAAATTTTATTTAGACAATTTATTCGTAATTTATAGTTAATTCAGATAAATCGAGGTAGCTGTGCTTAATAGTTCAATTTTTTGATATTTCAATGTCGAATTTTTGGTATTTATCATTCGGGGGTGTTTCAGACGAGAATTGCGGATTTACTTGGAGTTGCCGGAACTGATGTGCCAATTCAAGAGATACAGAAACTCATGTTACCCTATAAGGTAAGAGTTATTTTTATTAATTTTTTAATTAAAGAATTTAGCTGTTGAATTGGCATGAATTTTTCGAGATTATTTTTATTTTTATCTTGTGTTGCAGTTGGGCGTGAATGGATATGCCTTTATTGTTACTAATAACGGCTACATTCTTATTCATCCTGACCTGAGACCAGTTGTAAGTACAAATAAAGTGATTTTTATTTTTATTTTTTTTGCTTCCAAATGGAAATGATATTATGATATTTATAGAACATAATATAATATAATAAACGTGAAGAAAGGATGTTTTTAAGAAATATCTGTATGGATGGATGTATGTATGAATGACTCAAGAATAATAATCGCAAATTAAATCGTTTCCATCTCTTGTTTTTCCATTTTTTTCCGTTAAAATTGCTTGAACTCTCGTGTTACGTCATGATTTCGCAGGAAATATCTAAATATGTCCTATTAAATAAACACTTAAAAATTATGAGTATTAATTTTTCCAATACAAGGGGGCTACACGACCTGCTCGCTCCGTTCGCCCATCCCCATATGATCCCTACGATCCTTATTCTGACCCTTGTGACCCTTAATCTTTCCCTCGTGAACCTTATTCTGACTCTCATGATCTTTACTCTGACCTTTGTGACCCTTATACTCACCCTTGTAACACTTATTCTGACCCTCATCACCCTTATTCTGACCCTTGTAACCCTTATTCTGACCCTCGTGACTCTTAACTGTAGAGTCTTAATTTCGAGTACCAAATTTTTATCAGAAGTCAATTTGGATTTTTATAATATAGAGATATCACTGCTTTATATCCTACGAATAATATAGATCGAAATTTAGACTCGGTAACGAGGTTTTCTATAGAAAATTCTATAAATCTCCGAACAGAAAAATTTACAGATCATTCTATAGAATTTGTTTCTTCGAACCTGAAAGTTGATATTTTTCTTAACTCAAAACTAGGATTCTATAGATTCTGTAGATCAAGGAGAATTCTATAGATCTATAGAATCCCTTATAGAAAATTTTGTTGACGTATAAAAAAATTCGTAAATTTTTCAATAGAATTTCTCGTATAACTCGCTATAGATAACTCTATAGAATCTCTAACAGCATAATCTCCAGATATTTCTATAGAATTTTCACTTTTGCTGAGCGCCAGGATTAATCGCAAAAATTTTTCTTCTCCTTCAAATTAATGTAAAATTAAAGATGAGATGTACAATTTGCGCCGTTGTTTTCATTCACCCAACATTTCATAAAAATAATTATTGACTGTATGAATTTTCATAAGTTCCAGGGAATACTGAAGCCCTCATACAATTCCGTTGACATGGCAGAAGTTGAGCTCTTGGATCTCGGTGGTCCACGTGACTTTGACGAGACGATTCTCGGGGTAAATTATTTCATTAAAAAAACTTCTCAATGAAGAAAAAACAACACCGTTAATGAACTTGGTTATTACGATCAATTATTCCTACTTCCAGTTTCGAGAGCAAGTTATCAATCAAGCGAACGGTAGCGTGATCCTCAACACGAAATATCATTATGATGATATGGTGAGTCACATTGCGCAATTTTGCCTAGAAGTCCACTGGAAATTGGTGAATTAGACATGAATTTGGTTGATCACTATCAAATTTTTGTGTCTAATTTTCATCAGAAAAAAAAAGATTGGTCAATTCATTTTTGGACAGGTCATGATCAGCAAAATTTACAATTTATCATGAGATTCTCCACATTAGATTGTGGAAATGTCCGGGGTAATAGGACATGTTGATTTTAAATGTTGAATTTTTAGAAAAGAGTTGGTCGGATCAAAAGAAAATACGATTTCACTGGAATCGAGAAGACACCTTTCACAGTTGTGGTGAGTTTGCCACTGCACGGCCACGATAATTACCGTGTTCACGCCACCGAGGAGCTCCACAGAGCCCACGTCAATGGTAAATTAATCAATAAGATAGTCAATAATTTTTTTTTAATCATACCCCTCTCGAATAATTATGGAATTCATCTGGGATAGGTAAAAATGCGACAGACTACTTTGCGGACAGTAACTGGCTGGTTCATCCTGATTGGACGTATTGCAAGTAAGTTTTTTTTAATTAAAGCATTCAAACCAATAGGTTTACTCTGCTGATTGCAAGTAAGTTGATTATTCTATTCATCAATTGATTGAATCATCAAAATCAACAGAATTTAGTTCTCTGATCACTGAATTTACGTCGTTGCCGCGTTAATTTGGTCGATCAATTGATGATTTGCTTTTTTTCGCTCTTGGTAGATATCATTATAAGGACGAGCACAGGTTTGAGTCCCCCGAGAAACTGTTTTTACACTTTCTGGAGCGCACTCGCCTGCCAGGATGGTTCTGGAGTGATAAGAAATTACCCTCCCAGCCACCCGAGTTGTCTGTCACTAATTCTGGAAGTAGTGGATCTCATTGTAAGTTTCAAAACGATTCATTCTTCTCTGATAACTTGAAATTTGCTGAATTAACTTCATCAAACCTTTCGCATTTGCAACAATTCTCAAGTAGAAATCCCAGTGTTGAATTAGTTCATGGATCTCATGGGATTCCCCTCAAGCTAAAAAACGAAACCTAACCTGTTCCAATTCGACCATTCACTTCAAGAATCCCGAGTCGAGGATTTGGTTCTGATTGGACGTACACAGGTCTTTCAAGATCTCTCCAGACCTAGATGGACCTGGTAAGTCCTAATCAGTTCTGCGACGTACTTTTCCAGAGACCTTTCGAATCCTCAGTTCTTTTCGGTCCTTAGAAGTCCTCCTCGATGCTACCGAGAACGCGTGATTTTACGAGCGGGTGAAGGGGAAGGCATGTATGCGGAGGGTTGAAATTTGTAGCCAACGAGGAGACAGGGTTGCAGAATNACTTTCGCCAAAATTGAATTTTTTAGCCGGGTGAGCGTTGATTCCAACTATTTGAGCGACGGGCTATTCAGAACTCTCAAAT